ATTTGATTCGATCAAATTCAAATCAAGTATTCAAATATTTGATTTGATTTGAATTAATAGTAAAGCTATCTCCAAAGCTTCAGGAGTGGTTCTTTTAAGAAAACTATAGTAAAAAACACCTTCGCAGCTTTGAAAATACCTTTTTTTACTAAAAAAATCATAGTAAAAAGTGCTTTTGCAGCTTTTGAAATGCTTTTTTACTAAGAAAAATATAGTAAAAAATGTCTTCGTGACTTTGAAGACATTATTTTACTAAGAAAACATAGTAAAAAATGACTTTACAGCTTCTGAGATGCTATTTTACTAATAAAATATAATAAAAAACGCCTCCATACCTTCGGAAATGTTTTTTATTAAGAAACCTAGTAAAAAAACATATCCGTAACTTATAGGAAGACTTTCACATGATTGGTTGATAATGTTACATAAATTTTACAATTAATATTGTAAATATTTATATGTATCACGTAATATCAATATAAATTAACCATTATATTTAAGCTATTTAGCATTTATATGTATAATAAATTAAAGTATTAAAAATAAACTTTTGTTTCAAAAATTAGTTAATTTATTTGATTTATATAATAGTCTTAGTTTGTTATTTTAAATAAAAAATTTTTTATTTTTATTAAAAGATTTCTTTAAAGAAATCGAGTTTTCCTTTTAAATGATTTATTGCTGTTGAAATTTATACAATGCTTTCTCTAATATACATAATATATATTTTATGGTTTCATTTTCATCATCATCATTACATGGAATATTATTTTTCAGATATTCGACTTCAGCTTGCTGTTCTTCTTCAAAATGATGTAAGCGTTCTAGTAAAGACTGAACATGTTCATTAATACCATCTTGTAAGAATGAGAGGCAATGTATACACTTGAATCTGTTATTGGTATAGCAATATTTATGATAAGTGTGGCTATAACTTAAAACCTTAATAGAATCTGTATTAATTAAAAAAAAATAGGACAATTAGATAAATCACAATACTGAGATGGATCAGACTTATGTAAAGTATTAAACCCTAGAGAAAGATAGCATAATTGTGTTTCCAGCATCTTTATTGTCATTAATGGAATGGAAATATCATCAATTTTCTGTTTGCATTTTTTCGAAGGTGGTGGATTCATGGTAGTCTGTAATGAGAATATTAATGGTGATTTATTGTAAAATAAGTATATATGGATTTCTGAAAAACACTGCAAAAGAAAATATGCACTTTTCTTTATTAAAAAGTAATATCTCAGGAAGAATATTCGTAGGTAGCTCATATAGATATATGTGCAATGTTTTCTCTAAATCCATTATCATCCAGAGTAGTCAGTTAATATAATATCCATATTTGATGATCTGCTATGCCTTGGTATATTTCTGAGTGTTTCGACATAAAAAACTGTGAAATATTTCAACAGTCGAATCTGAAAACTTTGGAAGTTCAGCAATAATAGTCTTTAAGATAAGGTGATTGTTTAACTCTCAGTAGAATATATCTGAAAGAAACATTAACAGTGCTTTGATATAGTTTTTGCGACAGAACTTAAAAAATACTACCTATGCACGAAAGCATGACTCTAAGTAAGCGTCAAAATCACCAGATTGGAAAAATACTGCGTAGAACTAAAGGACTAAGATTATTAAGCAAGTCTTTTAATACAAAATATTCGGCATCTTTACATAGAAATCCAAATTTCCTTACAACACTCGTAGAAATTTCCTGGCAAGCACTGCAAGAAATCTCTAAAAGGAGATTAATACGATATGACTTGGATTTTTGTGCGAGCAGCCTTCGTTCTTCAAATATATACTTGTACATAGCTGAAAAGAAAGGTCGATATTGAAGGAATATTAATTCTCGACTATTCAACAAGATATGCAAGAGACCTATTATAGAAAGAAATGATAAAATGGAATTAGTAATATTCAATTGATCACAATGTAATATATAACGTGAGAGAGCTATTCTGAGATAGATTTGTCCAGGCTAATCAGCAATGATAGAAATAAAATATCCATTTTGAATGTACTGCTGCATTCATAGAATGAAGTTCACCTGATTGGCTAATGTAGATCAATTGTATTTATATGTTATACAGTATTTTTTGGGAAATAAAGTTTTACATAATAAAAAAAATTTATTTTTTTTACATGTTGCTTCATTAGAGTATTAAAACATTGACTTTAAAATAAATCTTTTATTTTTCATGATCAATGTTACATTTATAATTTTATATATAAGTATAATATACGCTATTTAAAAAATGGGTCTTTCAATAATGTCTGACAAACTTCCAACCAATGTTAAAGATTGGACTTCAGCTCATATTAAAAAACATCTCAAGAGACATATGAATAATTCAAGTTATAATGAAGATAACATTGAAAAAATCGAAAAACAGAATACCGGTGGAAAATCTTTTCTCAGATTAACCATACAAATGCTTACTAATAAAAATAGTCCATTTAAAATTAAGTTTGAAAATGCAACCGATATTATGGAGTTAATAGAAAAACTCAAAGAAAAATAAGATAAGTTACTATGATAATATATGTCTCTTGAGTAAAGCCAAGCTTCTGTTATACTATAATTTATTCCTTATTTTTTTTAAGCAGACGAGCACTCTACGTTCGTTGAAGTTGTAACCGTCTCTGAATTCAATAAATTACGTGATAACTACCAAAAAATATTAAAAGAGAATTATAAAATTATCAATAACATGTTAAGTAAGATTAAAATATTACATGGAAAAGAGTAAGTGTTGAATTGTTGGGTCCATATTAGGAATTACAGTGAACTCTTGATATAACGAATTCTAGGATCTGATATCAACTTCGTTATAAGCTTATAACGAATTTTTTAAAGAATTTAATTGGCTAGTTCACTATAGTAAAGGTAATT